CCTCACCAGAAATAAAATTCAAGTTACGCTACTGTCGATTGATTAATAGTTGGTTGCTTAACGTCCAGTGGCAAATATTTCATGCATAATTAACGTGTAGAGAGCGTGACATTCTCTCTACAAGAGGCATCGGATTTAACGTCCCCACTCTGACCGGACGGGACTGCGTACTTGTACATCCCGCACAACCAAACGGACTCCCCACTTTGGCAATGGTTAAACTGTCGATCGGAACAAGACCAATAGTGACCATATTTCTCTTCCCCCGATCACCTTTGAGGGGTTTCTGTCGAGACGAGCGCGCGACCAAAGAGACAGTTATGAATATGTTAGATACATATACATGTACAAGTATTAATCAAAACATTTGCAACAAATATGTGTGGCCTTAAGACACCGTGCCCCTTCCCATGATCATATTTCTTTGTTCAGTGCACCACTTAATCCGGGTCAAACTCTAATTTGGTATATGATTTTAAACGTTTTATATTTTTAACAGAACGGAAGAGCGGACGGATGAACAGACCAGTAAATAATATCCCCTTGCTATCATAAGTTGGTCATAAAACTAAAATTGATTATCCTATTTAACAAAACTTCAATCAAATATTCCGTACATGTCCGTTTTTCATACGTATTTGTATAAGTTAAACGCCAAACATTTTAGAAAAACCAATTTAAAGAGCAATGATATTAAATTACGCATACGTTGGTACGGGCTCTTCCTAGAATCCATGCATCATTATAATTACAGACAAGATATAAAAAAATTATCTGATTCAGTAAAGTGTAATCTTATTTTTTCTTGAAGATGCGTCCTCATAAATTCCATTTGATAAAATTCTACGGAAAGGTGACAAAGTTCTATCAGAAAGATGCATTAGTGATCTGAATTTTTACCTTTGATAAAAGTATCTTGAAATAAATTATGGAAGTATGCTAAAAAAAAGAAGAAGAAGCAAGTCGTGTACACCTTGTATATTCCGGCGTGTTTGAAACTCTTGTTTTAATCTTATAACTTTTAAATAAAAAATGAGTATATGATCTCGCTTCAGATTCCATTATTTTTTCAAACTTAAGTTTGATTTAGTAGCTTTAAGAATTCATCGTTTGAGAGAAAAATATATGGGTCAAGTGAAATGACGAAGTAATGATCGGTGCATTTAATTACCGGTAACTGAATTAATTATTCCCTTTAAAGGTTGTTGTCAATGAAATCATCCCAAATTTTATAACAAAATATGTAAAGAATTAAAATAGTAGTTTTTGTTTTTGCTAATTTTTAAATAGCATTTATTCTAACAAAGTATGTGTATTCAACGAGTCAAAAATTCATGCAGTCTATGCTCCCCTCCGTCATCCTTCGATGCAATAGGCCGAGATACGGTCAAATAGGTTGGTTATGTCGAATAATGTCATTTTATTGGAAATCTCTATTATGACTAGTTGTGAGATTGTCGTTGTGCAAACAGAGATTGTCGTTGTGCAAACAGAGATTGTCGTGGTGCAAAAGCAAAATGTTGACGATGTTTTAATTATAAGTACACTCCGAAACATGACCTCTGTGCATCAAACATATGATCAGCCGCGTTAAATCGCTCTTTTAGGAAACATTAAATGTAACACTTAAAAGTTTAACCTGTTTAGTATTTTTTGTTTTTGCTAATTTTTAAATAGCATTTATTCTAACACACAAGTTTAACCTGTGTAGAGTTTACTTTTTCTATCATGCTGTGTGAAACTATTACCTTACTACATATATGTTCTGTTGTCAGTATCTTCAAGAAATAGATATATATATATGTTCGACCAAATATTTGAAAACGCTGTAAACATATTTTAGAATTTAATATATTTGTGCATACGAATGTTGACTCTTATTTTTGTATGAAATAAGGACATTAAAAAAATCTATTGATAAACTTTTTAATTGTTTAAGTGTTCCATGAAATCTTTTCTGAAAATCGAAAATAATTCCAAAATACTTAGCCTTACCAAAATATTGTATGTCTTGAAATAGAAAATAAAAATCTTGATATATTGTAGATGTCTAAGGACCGGCTTTATCGGTATGTCATATTTGTATTTTGAAGATACTTAGCCTTACCAAATAAAATATGTCTTGAGACAGAGAATAAACGTCTTGATACTTTATTGAAGTCTAAGGACTTGCTTTACTGGTATATCATATTTGTATTTTGATGATACTTAGCTTTACAAATATATTTTATGTTATGAGATAGAAAATAAATATCTTGATACTTTGTTGATGTGGAAGGATTTGCTTTATTGGTATATCATAAATGTATTTTAAAGATAAAATGCAGTAACAATAGAGTATGACAAAAAATTACCTTATCATTCTAATAGTTTGTAGATTTGTATAATTGTTAACACTTGTCACGTAGATCTATATTCATGTGTTTTTGTTTAATTACTAACTCAGAACCGAGAACTGAGAAGTGTACTTGCACGGTGAATGAAATTTTCAAGAAATGTAAGTATATACAAAGATATAAATGCGTGTATTTAACGTTTGTTTTCGTGTATGATGCAACTTACACGACTGAATTATTTATACCGGTGTATCGACTCAAATAGACGTGTACCTAATATTTTTCTACACACAACTGTCGTCTTTCATCGTTGAGTTTTATTCTTATATACTGGAATATTGACATATAAATATAAATATTTCAGTAATCTATTTTATTCATTATGTACATGTGTGATGTTGAATTGTTATCAATATGCGTTATACTATGCCCTTTATCAAATCCCTTTTACCGGTATACATGTACGAAAAACTAGAATCCCTACGGAACAGCTGGGCTTTTAAGATACTGCTGGTGTCTTGAGACATGGAAAAATGTCTTAAGACATTTAATTTTAGTTTATTATAACAATGCATTTTTCTGCATGGTAGATTATAAATACATCATTGACAATGTCAATGTCTTGAGACATACAGTAAATATCTTAAGATATTAAGTTAAACTGTAAAAATATTTGTAATGGGGTCTTCTATTGGAATTATGTCGGTCGATGGTTATAGCTTTCAAAAACAGATTACACATGTTCCTGAATGAGTTCAAAAGTTAAAGTCATAAAGTGTCGTCGACAATACTAATACGGTAACCACAACACATACTTAAATGACTAGCTGTGAGATTGTCGTTATGCAAAAAGAGATTTTCGTTGTGCAAAAGCAAAATGTTGATGGTGTTTTAATTATAAGTCCACTCCGAAGCATGAAAGAGGGGCGAAAGATACCAGAGGAACATTCAAACTCATGAATCGAAAATAAACCGACAACGCCATGTCTAAAAAAGAAAAAGACTAAGAAACAAAAGTACACAAAACACAACAGAAAAAACAAAAGACTAAGCAACACGAACCCCACCAAAAACTGGGGGTGATCTCCGGTGCTACGGAAGGGTAAGCACATCATGCTCCACATGTGGCACCCGTCGTGATGCTCATGTTAGTACAAACACGGTGAATAGTCTAATTCAGTAGGTCACATTCGTGAAAAGGGAACGGGATTGTAGTTACGACATTAGGAACATATCCGCTATCATCTGTGAAACGGATATTCCATAACGATCAACCAGCTCGTTTTGGCGCATGACCTGTGTGTATTCAAACATATGATCTAGCGCGTTAAATCGCTCATTTAGGAAACATTAAATGATACACTTTAAAGTTTAACCTGTTTAGTATTTTAACTGATACACTTTAAAGTTTAACCTGTGTATTGTTTACTTTTTCTATCATACTGTTTAAAAATATTACCTTTCTACATATATGTTTTGTTGTCAGTATCTTCAAGAAATAGATATATAAGTTCGACCAAATGTTTGAAAACGCGACAAACATAATACCTACAGACAAGAAATTAATATATTTGTGCATACGAATGTTGACTCTTATTTTTGTATGAAATAAGGACATTAAAAACATTTATCCCCGGCTCAGTATATTTCTAGGAGTTTGATTGGTTAACGCACGTCGTTACAAAATCCATAGCCCCTGGGTGTTGCTAACCCATATCCCCGGACGTTGCTACCCATTACATCGGGGAATTTCACGCGCGTTTTCCTTAGTTCAATGGTTGTTCCTTATGAAATATCGAATTCTGTAGATTTTCCATGATGTCTGTATAATTAAATATTTAATCCACTAACGATTTTATCTTATTATATCGATTATTTGCACTCATTTTAGTAAATGCATCACTATGCAGCCACATTGTCAATGAATGGTACTACTGACCTAGCTATGCAAATGACCCACGTTGACGTCACACCGTTTATGATGTAACTCTCACAACATTGCGCGCCAAATTCGACCCATTTCAGTTTCTCTGTCTCTAGTTTAAAAACGTCTTATATTTGTCTACCTGTAGGGTTCTACCAAAGGTAGTACCCTGCACCCCATTAAAAATATGTCAAATTCCAAAATTTCAATAAAAGATATTTAAAAAATGAAAAAAAAACGTTGCTTTCACGTTTCACTTTGTGGTCGAATTTCTCTAAAAATCGCCAGATTTAGACTAAGACCGGGGATAAATTCGTTATCTACGTTCATATCCGTAGATATGGATATTTTAACACCCTTCAGTACCCTGTACACCCTTCGGCTGCGCCTCAGGGTGTACTTGGATACTTCAGGGTGTTAAAATATCCATATCTACGGATATGAACGTAGATAACTTATATTATTGACAAACTTTTTAATTGTTTAAGTCTTCCATGAAATCTTTTTTGAAAATAATTCCAAAGTACTTAGCCTTACAAAACTGTTTTATGTCTTGAGATACGAAATAAAAATCTTCATACATTGTAGATGTCTAAGGACTTGCTTTATCGGTATGTCATATTTGTATTTTGAAGATATTTATCCTTACAAAATATTTTATGTCTTGAGACAGAGAATAAACGTCTTGATACTTAATTGAAGTCTAAGGACTTGCTTTATTGGTATATCATATTTGTATTTTGAAGACACTTATCTTTACAAATATTTTTTATGTCTTGAGATAGAAAATAGATATCTTGATACTTTGTTGATGTCTAAGGACTTGCTTTATTGGTATATCATCAGTGTATTTTGAAGATAAAATGCAGTATAAATAGAATATGACAGAAAATTAACATTATCATTCTATTAATTTGTAGATTTGTATAATTGTAAAAACTTGTCACGTAGATGTATATTCATATGTTTTTTGTTTAATGTCTCACCCAGAGCCCAGAACTGTATTTTCGGAGAAGTGTAACTGCACAGTGAATCAAATTTTCAAGAAATGTAAGTATATACACAGATTCAAATGCGTGTAATTAACGTTTGTTTTCGCGTAAGATGCAATTTACACGACTTAATTATGCTTACCGGTGTTCCGATTCAAATAGACGTGTACCTAATATTTTCCTAGACACAACTGTCGTCTTTCATCGTTGAGTTTTATTCTTATATTTTGGAATATTGACATATAAATGAATATTTCAGTAATCTATTTTATTCATTATGTACATGTGTGATGTTGAATTGTTATCAATATGCGTTATACTTTGCCCTTTATCAAATCCCGTTAACCGGTATACATGTACGAAAAACTAGAATCCCTACGAAACAGCTGGGCTTTTATGATACTGCTCATGTCTTGAGACATAGACAAATGTCTTAAGACGTTTAATTTTAGTTTATTATATCAATGCATTTTTCTGTATGGTTGATTATAAATACATCATTGACAATGTCCATGTCTTGAGACATACAGTAAATATCTTAAGATATTAAGTTAAAAATATTTGTAATGTGGTCTTCTGTTGGAATTATGTCGGTCGATGATTATAGCTGTGAAAAACAGATTAAACTGGTTCTTCCAAAATGAGTTCAAAAGTTTAAGTCATAAAGTGTCGTCGAGAAACAGGTTGACGTCTCATGCAATGAATGGATACGACAATACTAATACGGTAACCACAACACATACTTATATGACTAGTTCTGAGATTATTGTTGTGCAAACAGAAATTGTCGTTGTTCAAAAGCAAAATGTTGATGGTGTTTTAATTATTAGTCCACTCCGAAACATGACCTGCGTATATTCAAACACATGATCTAGAGCGTTAAATCGCTATTTTAAGAAACATTAAATGTTACCCTTTAAAGTTTAACCTGTGAAGTGTTTACTTTTTCTATCATACTGTATGAAACTATTACCTTACTTTATATATGTTCTGTCGTCAGTATCTTCAAGAAATATATATATGTTCGATCAAATATTTGAAAACGCGGTAAACATATTTTAAAAATTAATAATTTGTGCATACGAATGTTGACTCTTATTTTTGTATGAAATAAGGACATTAAAAAAAAATATTGACAAACTTTTTAATTTGTTATGTCTTCCATGAAATCTTTTTTGACAATCGAAATAATTCCAAAATACTTAGCCTTACAAAAATATTTTATGTCTTGAGATAGAAAATAAAATTTTGATACATTGTAGATGTCTAAGGACTTGCTTTATCGGTATGTCATATTTGTATTTTGAAGATACTTACCCTTACAAAATATTTTATGTCTTGTCACATTTCAGTCAGTACTTGCAACTCATATATCCCAGTGAACTGGAAATTAAGGATACTACTGATAAAAGAAGGACTGTTTCATACCTTGATCTTTTCCTCAATATTGACACAGATGGACGACTTCACACTAAAATCTATGACAAACGGGATGATTTCAACTTCCCAATTATCAATTTCCCATTTCTCTACAGTAACATACCCTCTGCTCCGTCGTATGGTGTGTACAAATCTCAATTGATACGTTACGCTCGTGCATTTTCACACTATACTGACTTCATATACATGAGTATGCTCCTTACGCAGAAACTGCTCCAACAGAGTTATGAGGAGGAAAGATTAAAAGTGACACTCCGTAAATGTTATGGACACCATCACGAATTGGTGGATCTATACAATGTGTCTGTGTCTAAACTAACAAATGACATTTTTACCACGTCTTAGATTGTGGTTTAACATCTATGTCGTCTGTCTGCTAAGTACCGAACGTGACCTATTCCCGAAAATGACTGTTATACCGAGAGTGAATTTACATGGCTATACGACGTGTCTCGGTAGTTTGTACATCCAACATTCATGTATTTATTTTTGATGTTTTTGTTATGGTTTCGGTTGAATAATGTGTTATGCCGTATCGTTTGTTGTCCAAATAGTTATAAAATTGCCTTTCCATACCATCAATGTCATGAAAATTGTTTGGACGAATATTGTGAAAATAATTGTATAAAGTTCGAGATTGGATGTTAGTTACGTAAGCGCGTCACTGTATTTGATATCCTGTGGTGTTGGTCGTTGATGTAATACGTTCGTTGTTGTTCTGTGGTTTGCATTTTGTGTCGACTATTATATTGTTTGTTTGTGCGTTTCTCTGTTATGAATGTTCTTGCGTGTTTTTGTGCTGTATTTCTGTCACTTAGTGTTTTAGCGATAATGTTTAACATTGTCATAAAGCGGGAGGTTTGGCATGCCATGAAACCAGGTTTAACCCACCATTTTTTCTTAAAATGTCCTGTACGAAGTCAGGGATATGGCAGTTGATATCAAATAGTTCGTTTTCTATGTGTGTTGGTGTTTGTTTTTGTTGCACTTCGCTGTTCCTGTTGTTCCTTTGTTTTCCTCTTATAGTTGATGTGTTTCCCTCGGTTTTGGTTTGTAACCCGGATTTGTTTTCTCTCAATCGATTTATGACTTTTGAACACCGGTATACTACTTTTGCCTTTATTTTTGAGACAGAGAATAAACGTCTTGATACTTTATTGAAGTCTAAGGACTTGCTTTATTGGTATATCATATTTACATTTTGAAGATACTTAGCTTTACAAATATATTTTATATCTTGAGGTAGAAAATAAATATCTTGATACTTTGTTTTTGTCGACGGACTTCCTATATTGGTATATAATAAGTGTATTTTGAAGATAAAATGCAGTATAAATAGAATATGACAGGAAAGTAACATTATTCTTCTATTAATTTGTAGATTTGTATAATTGTTAAAACTTGTCACGTAGATGTATATTCATATTTTTTTGTTTAATTTCTCACTGAGAGCACAGAACTGTATTTTCTGAGAAGTGTAACTGCACGGTGAATCAAATTTTCAAAAAATGTTAGTATATACAAAGATATAAATGTGTGTATTTAATGTTTGTTTTCGTGTATGATGCAATTTACACGACTGAATTATTTTTACCGGTGTTCCGATTCAAATAGACGTGTACCTAATAATTTTCTACACACAACTGTCATCTTTCATCGCTAAATTTTATTCTTATATTTTGGAATATTGACATATAAATGAATATTTGAGTAATTTATTTTATTCATTATGTACATATGTAATGTTGAATTGTTATCAATATGCGTTATACTATGCCCTTTATCAATTCCCTTTTACCGGTATACATGTACGAAAAACTAGAATCCCTACGGAACAGCTGGGCTTTTATGATATTGCTTATGTCTTGAGACATGGAAGAATGTCTTAAGACGTTTAATTTTAGTTTATTAAATCAATGCAATTTTTCTGCATGGTTGATTATAAATACATCATTGACAATGTCCATGTCTTGAGACATACAGTAAATATCTTAAGATATTAAGTTAAACTGTAAAAATAATTGTAATTTGGTCTTCTGTTGGAATTATGTCGGTCGATGGTTATAGCTTTCAAAACAGATTAAACTGGATCCAGAATGAGTTCAAAAGTTTAAGTCATAAAGTGTCGTCGAAAAACAGGTTGACGTCTCATGCAATGAATGGATATGACAATATTAATACGGTAACCACAACACATACTTATATAACTAGTTGTGAGATTGTCGTTGTGCAAAAAGAGATTGTCGTTGTGTAAAAGCAAAATGTTGATGGTGTTTTAATTATAAGTCCACTCGGAAACATGACCTGTGTGTATTCATGCATATGATCTAGCGATTTAAATCGCTCTTTTAGGAAACATTAAATGTAACACTTTAAAGTTTAACCTGTTTACTTTTTCTATCATGATGTATGAATTAACATGATTAAGGACATTAAAAAAATTTTATTGATACACTTTTTAATTGTTTAAGTGTTCCATGAAATCTTTTCTGAAAATCGAAAATAATTCCAAAATACTTAGCCTTACCAAAATACTTTATGTCTTGAAATAGAAACTAAAAATCTTGATAAATTGTAGATGTCTAAGGACTTGCTTTATCGGTATGTCATATTTGTATTTTGAAGATACTTAGCCTTAAAAAACATTTTATGTCTTGAGACTGAGAATAAACGTCTTGATACTTTATTGAAGTCTAAGCACTTGCTTTATTGGTATATCATATTTGTATTTTGAAGATACTTAGCTTTACAAATATAGTTTATGTCTTGAGATAGAAAATAAATATCTAATGACTTGCTTTATTGGTATTTTGGTGTATGCCCTTATATTTTTCAATTATGGGTTGTTTGACTGTGAGAGAGCTTTCACATGTTTATTATATCTTTGTTCTTAATTTTCAATTATATAGTATGGTGTTTGGATGTATAAATACTCATCCATGCCTGCTATTTTTTTTTATTGCCCCCTGCTATGGTTTTACTTAGATTTCTTACAATCTCTGTTTTTGCCCTGTGTTTGTTATATGTCAGTATTGTAATACTTAAGTCTTTACGTCGGGCCTTTTATAACAGTTTTTGTAAGAGTTACTGCTTTGCCTATTATTTCCTATTCCGTAATTGTGATCCTTATTCGTTGTTACAACCTCCATTATTTCTTATTTTTCCTATACCCCTATTTAATTATCATGATTTTACGTAATGGAAAGAAAATTATTAACAACACAACTTCTAGGATATCCACGTGCTTAAACGAACGTATTTGTAATGCCTCTACAACCAGATTGTTTAACAAAAATGCACGTGGATATCCACAAATTTTCCCGTGCAATGCCAAAAAGTGACTAACCTGTTTTAGATTAACTTCACAAAATACTGTACGGTCAACAGTGAACGGGAGAGCTTTTTCGCTCTCCTTTTCCCGTGACAATACCTGAAAAACTCAAAACCTTATACATGTGGTAACTTGAGCCCAACCTAAATGTGGTATTTAATATGTGTGACAGACGGGATGAGCGTATTACAAAAGAAATCAAGAACACCTTTACCGCTTTCGTAAACCTAAAAAATTCAACATTTGGATAAGCATAATCACAATCTAAAATTTATTAAATTCCAACCACTTGAAACCGTTCAGAAACAACCAGGAGAATCACACAAGCAATTTGAAAAATCACGTGAAGTTCGCGAATTATTTTGAATAAAAAGACTTCAAACAGCTTATCCTCTCGGTCTGAATGACAAAATATTAGGACAGGGGAACATAACTAAAACTTCAATCGATGTCATTATTATTGTCGATAAACGACTTAGAAATAAAAGGTCTCATGGCAAACGCAAAAACCTAAATCAACGTATTAAACATCGTATAAATTATACACTTGCAGATCTGTTATCTATAATAAAAAATAATGGCAGACATCAAGTATTATGCAAACTGGGTCAGATACCAATAAGTAAATTATATGCTTTTTTTCTGGAGTATGATAAAATTTCTTTTTTTAGCCCTATGTATGAATACACCCGTATTATTACAGCCTTTTGTCATCATAGGCTATTTCCTGCTATCGATAAACCTGAAAATCATTAACCTCATTTTCATAAATTAAAATATATAAATAGAGGTATTGATTTTATTAACTTATCTAGTATATTCAATGACTCTACCATCCTAAGCCAAATACCTCCATATTTTGATAATATAGAACCACCTATTATTTCGTATTCTTATAAAAAAAAGACAGCAGAAGTTTGATTTTTAATTATACGTCAGTTACATTAGACGTCAATATAGAAAATAATGTTCCTTCCACTTGAGATTGTGAAACATCTAGTTTTAGATATGTTCCCCATGGCCATGTCCTTACAGGAGACCTCAACATCGTCGAAGACCGTGAGGTCATAACTTTTCTTAAGAAAGGACCGAAATATCGTCCTCCATCTAAAATAGATTGGAAACAGTGTCGTCAGGTCATTAAAGACGCTCTGTCTGTCTACTGTAAAAATTGGTGTAAACTTGAAAAATCTGATAAAAAATCTATAGACAGTTATTTGAATAAAATTATGAATACTTTTAATATTCGTATATCTCATTTTGAAAACAATTCTGAAATTAGTAATAGGGTCCATGATATTCCCATTTCTAGAATAAAAAATAAACTCCAAGTACTCGCAAAGCGGTTTGTGTTCGTACCGACAGACAAAGCAGCAAATAATGTAGTGGTGGTGTGACGCATATACTACACGGAAGTTCTCCAAAACGAAATTACAAATTCATCTACATTCAGGTCCGTACGCTCCACAGAGAGTCAAATTGTAAACAAGCATATCACTGCCACTACCAAGCTTAAAGTCTTTCCGAACATTTGAAAGTCCCTACTATGTACTGGTTACCTAAATTGCACAAAAAACCATTTAAATTCCGTTTCATCTCCGCATCTAGTAAGTTTTCTACTACCAATCTATCAGTGTTTCTAACTACCTCCCTTACTACTATTAAAAAACTTGTTATTAACTTTTGTAGTAAAGCTTATGAAAATAATGGTATTAATTATTTTTGAAGTGTTAAAAATTCTTTAGAGGTTTTAGATAAAATTCATGCTTTTGATGGTCCTTTTAATTCTGTTGACAGTTATGATTTTTCTACTCTCTATATTACACTTCCACACAATCTTATCAAGAAAAAGTTTTCATATTTAATTAAATGGTCTTTTGAAAAATCTCATTACAAATTTATTTGCTGTAACTCGTTTAAAGCCTTTTTCTGTAACGAAAAAGGAAAGTATGCTAGATACACTTACTGGAAATGTGAAGATATGACTGAAGCTTTAAATATTCTCCTGGACAACATACATGTACGTTTCGGCGATAAAGTGTATCGACAAGTAGTAGGTATTCCTATGGGCACTAACTGCGCCCCTTTAATAGCAGATTTAATTCTGTATTGCTATGAATCTCAGTTTATGACCAAACTCAGTAAAGACACGTCATTGTTACATTTGGTTGATACATTCAACAATACCTTCCGTTATCTAGATGATATTTTTTTATTAAATAATCCAGAGTTCTCTAAATATACTACCGAAATTTACCCATTAGAACTTACTTTAGCTAAATCTAACATAAACAGCATTAGTTGTCCTTTTCTAGATTTGGACATTTCAATCTCTAAAGGAAAACTCCATACGAAAATTTACGACAAAAGAGACGACTTTTCATTCCCTATTGTTAATTTTCCTTTTTTAGACGGCGATGTTCCTTTGGCTCCATCATACGGTGTTTATATATCCCAACTCGTTCGTTATGCCCGTGTATGTAGTGATGTCATAGATTTTAACGAACGTAATCAATGCATCACTGGTAAATTATTAGGTCAGGGATTTCGTTACCATAAATTACGTAAAACTTTAATAAATTCTTTCATAGATACAAAGATTTGATTAGTGAATTTGGCTGTACCTGTAGAAAACTGATTACAAACGGTATTTCACATCCTAAATTTTACGGTAATATTGTACTTAAAGCGCGGAAATCACTATGTGAACCGTGTAAACTCATCGAACCTTTAAACAAACTTATTAGTAAAGGTTATCTTACCAATGTTGTAATTAGATCTTTGAATATAGTTTACATTGGCACTAATATCGATTTTGTCATCAGCAAATTAAAACATAACTATATTTGTATTCTTTTCAAACGGGATGTATAAAGACACACCCGCGTTCATTTTGATCTATAAAGAGGTTAAACTCCTAACTATCCTACTGCCTGTCGATACATTTATTTTTGGCATTGCACAAGTCATGTCTTCTTTGACTGTCCATGACGTTAAAATACTAAATCCCTGGGATGTGTTTTAGTTGATTTTAGTCTCTGATGCATGATTTTTTTATTATTAATTGTTTTTGGCTTTTAACTAACTGTCAGTAACTGCGAGTACTCTCAAATCGTACAAATCGTACTTTCTTGTTTATTTGACCTGTTGATACTAATTGAAATGCTCTTTTGTTATTTAATGTTATTCAGGGTTATATCTGGTCTATATACCAGCTTTGATAAGTGTTTGGTATAACTATACATTTTCACTTCGTACTATGAACATCAAAATTATTTGTTTTGTAAAAATAATTCCTTTCTCTATTTGAACTGAACACGTATACCTAACAACAATATTATTTTCATTTACCTCTGTTTAAAGTAATTACAAATGGCCGATATTTTTGTTCGAGCATATTGTTTTTCTTAAATTGTTTAACATTTTTAATAGCGGTATAACATATTACTTTTATTATTCTTCCCTTAGTTTATTAATTTTGTATTTACATTGTATCATAGGTCAAATTTATTGGTTCAGTGTATGTTCACTGGTGTTAATATGTCCTTTGGTTGAGTTAAGCTATTTCAGTTGATATTTGATAGTGTGTCTTTCTATGTTGTGATGTTACACTATTAATTCAGATAAAAGGTGAAGGTACCATTAAAACGTTTAAACCCGCTGCATTTGTTTGCACCTGTCCTAAGTCAGGAATCTGATGTTCAGTTGTCGTCGTTTTTTGATGTGGTTCATAAGTGTTCCTCGTTTCTCGTTTTTTATAAAGATTAGACCGTTGGTTTTCCCGTTTGAATGGTTTTACACTAGTAATTTTTGGGGCCCTTTGTAGCTTGCTGTTCGGTGTGAGCCAAAGCTCCGTGTTAAAGACCGTATTTTGACCTATAATGGTTTACTTTTATTAATTTTGACTTGGATGGAGAGTTGTCTCATTGGCACTCATACCACATCTTCTTATATCTATATAATCATATTTGTATTTTGAAGATACTTAGCTCTACAAATATATTTTCTGTCTTGAGATAGAAAATAAATAGCTTGATACTTTGTTGATATCGAAGGACTTCCTTTATTTGTATATAATAAGTGTATTTTGAAGATAAAATGCAGTATAAATAGAATATGACAGGAAATTAACATTATCATTCTATTAATTTGTAGATTTGTATAATGGTTAAAACTTGTCACGTAGATGTATATTCATATGTTTTTGTTTAACTTCTCACTCAGAGCACAGAACTGTATTTTCGGAGAAGTGTAACTGCCCGGTGAATCAAATTTTCAGGAAATGTAAGTATATACAAAGATATAAATGCGTGTATTTTACGTTTGTTTTCGTGTATGATGCAATTTACACGACTGAATTATTTTTACCGGTGTTCCGATTCAAATAGACGTGTACCTAATATTTTTCTACACACAACTGTCATCTTTCATCGATGAGTTTTATTCTTATATTTTGGAATATTGACATCTAAATGAATATTTTAGTAATCTATTTATTCATTATGTACATATGTGATGTTGAATTGTTATCAATATGCGTTATACTATGCCCTTTATCAAATCCCTTTTACCGATTTACATGTTCGACAAACTAAAATCCCTACGGAACAGCTGGGCTTTTATGATACTGCTCATGTCTTGAGACACGGAAAAATGTCTTAAGACGTTTCATTTTAGTTTATTATATCAATGCATTTTTCTGCATGGTTGATTATAAATACATCATTGACAATGTCCATGTCTTGAGACATACAGTAAATATCTTAAGATATCAAAGTTAAACTGTAAAACAATTGATAATGGGGTCTTCTGTTGGAATTATGTCGGTCGATGGTTATAGCTTTCAAAAACAGATTAAACTGGTTCCAGAATGAGTTCAAAAGTTTTAGTCATAATGTGTCGTCGAGAAACAGGTTGACGACTCATGCAATGAATGGATATGACAATACTAATACGGTTACCACAACACATACTTATATGACTAGTTGTGAGATTGTCATTGTGCAAAAAGAGGTTGTCGTTGTGCAAAAGCAAAATGTTGATGGTGTTTTAATTATTAGTCCACTCCGTAACATGACCTGTGTGTATTCAAGCATATGATCTAGCGCGTTAAATCGCTCTTTTAGGAAACATTAAATGTAACACTTTAAAGTTCAACCTGTGTAGTGTTTACTTTTTCTATCATACTGTATGAAACTATTACCTTACTACATATATGTTCTGTTGTCAGTATCTTCTAGAATGAGATTTATGTTCGATTAAATATTTGAAAACGCGGTAAACATATTTTAGAAATTAATATATTTGTGCATACTAATGTTGACTCTTAGTTTTGTATGAAATAAGCACATTAAAATTTGTTATTGATAAACTTTTTAATTGTTTAAGTCTTCCATGAAATCTTTTCTGAAAATCGAAAATAATTCCAAAATACTTAGCCTTACAGAAATATTTTATGTCTTGAGATAGAAAATAAAAATTATGATACATTGTAGATGTCTAAGGACTTGCTTTATCGGTATGTTATATTTTTTTTTGAAGATACTTAGCCTTACAAAATATTTTATATCTTGAGACAGAGAATAAACGTCTTGATACTTTACTGAAGTCTAAGGACTTGCTTTATTGGTATATCATATTTGTATTTTGAAAATTCTTAGCTTTACAAATATATTTTATGTCTTGAGATAGAAAATAAATATCCTAATACTTTGTTGATGTGGAAGGACTTCCTATTGGTATATCATAAGTGTATTTTGAAGATAAAATGCAGTATAAATAGAGTATGACAGGAAATTAACATTATAATTCTATTAATTTGTGGATTTGTATAATGGTTAAAATTTGTCACGTAGATGTATATTCATATATTTTCGTTTAATTTCTCACTCAGGACACATAACTGTATTTTCGGAGAAGTGTAACTGCCCGGTGAATCAAATTTTCAGGAAATGTAAGTATATACAAAGATATAAATGCGTGTATTTTACGTTTGTTTTCGTGTATGATGCAATTTACACGACTGAATTATTTTTACCGGTGTTCCGATTCAAATAGACGTGTACCTAATATTTTTCTACACACAACTGTCATCTTTTATCGATGAGTTTTATTCTTATATTTTGGAATATTGACATCTAAATGAATATTTGAGTAATCTATTTATTCATTATGTACATATGTGATGTTGAATTGTTATCAATATGCGTTATACTATGCCCTTTATCAAATCCCTTTTACCGATATACATGTTCGACAAACTAGAATCCCTACGGAACAGCTGGGCTTTTATGATACTGCTCATGTCTTGAGACACGGAAAAATGTCTTAAGACGTTTCATTTTAGGTTATTATATCAATGCATTTTTCTGCATGGTTGATTATAAATACATCATTGACAATGTCCATGTCTTGAGACATACAGTAAATATCTTAAGATATCAAAGTTAAACTGTAAAACAATTGATAATGGGGTCTTCTGTTGGAATTATGTCGGTCGATGGTTATAGCTTTCAAAAACAGATTAAACTGGTTCCAGAATGAGTTCAAAAGTTTTAGTCATAAAGTGTCGTCGAGAAACAGGTTGACGACTCATGCAATGAATGGATATGACAATACTAATACGGTAACCACAACACATACTTATATGACTAGTTGTGAGATTGTCATTGTGCAAAAAGAGGTTGTCGTTGTGCAAAAGCAAAATGTTGATGGTGTTTTAATTATTAGTCCACTCCGTAACATGACCTGTGTGTATTCAAGCATATGATCTAGCGCGTTAAATCGCTCTTTTAGGAAACATTAAATGTAACACTTTAAAGTTCAACCTGTGTAGTGTTTACTTTTTCTATCATACTGTATGAAACTATTACCTTACTACATATATGTTCTGTTGTCAGTATCTTCTAGAATGAGATTTATGTTCGATTAAATATTTGAAAACGCGGTAAACATATTTTAGAAATTAATATATTTGTGCATACTAATGTTGACTCTTAGTTTTGTATGAAATAAGCACATTAAAAATTTTTATTGATAAACTTTTTAATTGTTTAAGTCTTCCATGAAATCTTTTCTGAAAATCGAAAATAATTCCAAAATACTTAGCCTTACAGAAATATTTTATGTCTTGAGATGGAAAATAAAAATTATGATACATTGTAGATGTCTAAGGACTTGCTTTATCGGTATGTCATATTTTTTTTTGAAGATACTTAGCCTTACAAAATATTTTATATCTTGAGACAGAGAATAAACGTCTTGATAACTTACTGAAGTCTAAGGACTTGCTTTATAGGTATATCATATTTGTATTTTAAAAATTCTTAGCTTTACAAATATATTTTATGTCTTGAGATAGAAAATAAATATCTTAATACTTTGTTGATGTGGAAGGACTTCCTATTGGTATATCATAAGTGTATTTTGAAGATAAAATGCAGTATAAATAGAGTATGACAGGAAATTAACATTATAATTCTATTAATTTGTGGATTTGTATAATGGTTAAAATTTGTCACGTAGATGTATATTCATATATTTTCGTTTAATTTCTCACTCAGGGCACATAACTGTATTTTCGGAGAAGTGTAACTGCACGGTGAATCGAATTTTCAAGAAATGTAAGTATATACAAAGATATAAATGCGTGTATTTAACGTTTGTTTTCGTGTATGATGCAATTTACACGACTGAATTATTTTTACCGGTGTTCCGATTCAAATAGACGTGTACCCATTATTTTTCTACACACAACTGTCATCTTTCATCGTTGAGTTTTATTCTTATATTTTGGAATATTGACGTATAAATGAATATTTGAGTAATCTATTTTATTCATTATGTACATACAGTGATGTTGAATTGTTATCAATATGCGTTATACTATGCCCTTTATCAAATCCCTTTTACCGGTATACATGTACGAACAACTAGAATCCCTACGGAACAGCTGGGCTTTTATGATACTGCTCATGTCTTGAGACATGGAAAAATATCTTAAGACGTTTAATTTTAGTTTATTATATCAATGCATTTTTCTGCATGGCTGATTATAGATACATCATTAACAATGTCCATGTCTTGAGACATACAGTAAAACTGTAAAAATATTTGTAATGGGGTCTTCTGTTGGAATTATGTCGGTCGATGGTTATAGCTTTCAAAAACAAATTAAACTGGTTCCAGAATGAGTTCAAAGTTTAAGTCATAAAGTGTCGTCGAGAAACAGGTTGACGTCTCATGCAATGAATGGATACGATAATACTAATACGGTAACCACAACACATACTTATATGACTAGTTGTGAGATTGTTGTTGTGTAAAAAGAGATTGTCGTTGTGCTAAAAGAGATTGTCGTTGTGCTAAAGCAAAATGTTGATGGTGTTTTAATTATAAGACCACTCCGAAATATGACCTGTGTGTGTTCAAGCATATGATCTAGCGCGTTAAATTGCTCTTTTAGGAAACATTAATTGTAACACCTTAAAGTTTAACCTGTGTAGTGTTTACTTTTTCTATCATACTGTATGAAACTATTACCTTACTACATATATATGTTCTGTTGTCAGTATCTTCAAGAAATAGATATATGTTCGATCAAATATTTGAAAACGCGGTAAACATATTTTAGAAATTAATGTATTTGTGCATACGAATGTTGACTCTTATTTTTGTATGACATAAGGACATTGAAAAAAAATATTGAAAAGTTTTTTAATTGTTTAAGTCTTCCATGAAATCTTTTCTGTAAATCGAAAATAATTCCAAAATATTTAGCCTTACAAAAATATTTTATGTCTTGAGATAGAAAATAAAAATATTGATACATTGTAGATGTTTAAGGACTTGCCTTATCGGTATGTCATATTTGTATGTTGAAAATGCTTAGCCTTACAAAAAAATTTATGTCTTGAGACAGAGAATAAACGTCTTGATACTTTATTGAAGTCTAAGGACTTGCTTTATTGGTATATCATATTTGTATTTTGAAGATACTTAGCTTTACAAAAATATGCTATGTCTTGAGATAGAAAATAAATATCTTGATACTTTGTTGATGTCGAAGGACTTCCTTTATTGGTATATCATAAGTGTATTTTGAAGATAAAATGCATTATAAATAGAATATGACAGGAAAATAACATTATCATTCTTACTATTAATTTGTAGATTTGTATAATGGTTAAAACTTGTCACGTAGATGTATATTCATATGTTTTTTGAATAATTTCTCACTCAGAGCCCGGCACTGTACTTTCTGAGAAGTGTAACTGCACGGTGAATCGAATTTTCAAGAAATGTAAGTATATACAAAGATATAAATGCGTGTATTTAACGTTTGTTTTCGTGTATGATGCAGTTTACACCACTGAATTATGTTAACCGGTGTTCGGATTCAAATAGACGTGTACCTAATATTTTTCTACACACAATTGTCATCTTTCATCGTGAAGTTTTATTCTTATATTTTGGAATATTGACATATAAATGAATATTTGAGTAATCTATTTTATTCATTATGTACATATGTGATGTTGAATTGTTATCAATATGCGTTATACTATGCCCTTTATCAAATCCCTTTTACCGATATACATGTACGACAAACTAAAATCCCTACGGAACAGCTGGGCTTTTATGATACTGCTCATGTCTTGAGACATGGAAAAATGTTTATATTTTGCGGCTAGGGCGGAATTTCGTAAACTATTAATAAATGAAAACTAACTATTGTTATCAAAATGATTGGGTTGCTTTTTGTATTATTCCCTTTATAAAAGCAGGCGGAATTCCAGTTGAAATTAAACAAAAGAAATGGAACTGTTTGTTAAAGAAGGTAAAAAGGCGAAGTTGGTAAATTTGAAATGTTTGCATCTGTTTCTATGGGCTTTTAAAGTTTAATAAATGTGCATAATTTAGGATTTTATGCATGTTATGGATGTGTTTTTATTTAAATTATTGAATTAAGCTTCGAGATATTTGGAAACTTTTAAATTATAGACAAATTTTCACAAAATAGTCGATTGTGGTAGGTGCAAATTCTCGTGGATCTTTTTTGTGCATGAGCAAAAATTCTGCAGAAAAAATTCCAAAGGAAGATAATCGATTTATCCTTTTAAAGCATCAATTTGCATCTCTGCCCCCGGTGACATTTTTTTGGGGAAAAAATCTCCAAAATGGGCACTAATTACATCGAAAAGAGAAAGTCGAGTACTACTTTTTAGATTCAGGCATGTTTGAGTTGACTATTCTGTCTTGAAAACGTATTAAAGAAAAAATATTTGATACATCTTCTCGCTTCAGTGAGTCATAACAACAGAGTAGGTGTGTTCGAATAACAATGTTTTACTAAAAACCAAACTTTTCTGGTGGATCTTAAAAATGCATAACTTAAAAAAAAAATCATTTTTTGTGTGTGTTATCTAGGGTAATTAATCTTCAACCTCTGAAAGTTTTTTTTTTGTCTGCCCTTCCACGAAATATTTAATTAGAATTTTTTTAAATATTTTTGAAGTTTCAAAACTTCCCCCTGACAACCGATCAGGCAATAGTTTTAAGTTGAACAAATGCATAAAAGTACATTAACTGTTAACTGATGCTCAAAAACTAGTAGATACATTTGTCTTTTAAAATACAACCGGCATATTATGATCGTATTGATACTATGTGGATAAATTTATCGGTTTTCAAGGGCTAAATTGACAGGGCGTCATCACTACAATGGCTTCCATTTTTACGATTATAAAAATTAGGTGGCGTAATGAAGAGATAATCTTGACGAAATAGAATCCTGACTGAAAGGACATTAAAACAAAAATGTTTTTTCGTGGAGAATTTATAAATATTAAAACATATCTGCCTCTGAAATATAATGCAAATTGTGAAAGAAGGTATATATTTGTGTCAATGTTTAAAATCTCGCGTAGATGTGTACCACATACTGAGCCACTTTGGACAATTAAAGACACCAGACAAATGTTATTATATAATACAATATTAAAAATGTATTTATGATTAACATTCGGGCCTGTGAAGGCAAGCTGCATGTAGTCCTCTGGTACACTGCACAAAAGAGGTTCTTGATCTTTTTCTTATATTTCGCTTTCTGTCGGAACAAACGACACAATTTCGTTCTTTTCGACCGTCGAGTTTTTTCACTCTTGCTTGCCGATTCACGTTACCATTTCTGTGTGTCAAATAAGCAGACGCTAAACTTTCTATTACAGATTGGTTGAACTGAAGTCGGGACATAACCGGTAATGATGTGTTATGACGGTACAGAATATACGCGTTTAACATAATGCGGTGAAATATGTGATATATAATTTTTTTCTATACTTTACTGCATTTCCTGTGATCATTATATGCTTCGATCATTTGGTCGCTAAGGTCGACACCGCCCATGAATGTATTATATGCGCCTATGATCCTAGGTTTACCGTTTAGTTTTCAATAGCATTGTAGAAAGTAGACATCAATGTGACGGGTTTTTTTCTGTTGTGGTCGCGGAAACGGCAAAACATGTTTTGTCTCTGTCTAGCGTAAACAGCATTCCCTGTCTGCGGACATGCATTTTTTATCATCTGTGGCATAGGTCTATTAGTTCTCATTGTGCGGGTGAGATACGTACGCTCTCTCAATAATTTGTTAGCTAAATTAAGTGAAGCAAAAAAGCTATCGGCGAAAACATGAAAGACTTTTCCAAGAAGATGCGAATTCTTCATTAAATTCATTACTTCATTTGTTCCTTGTAATGTTCCAGCAGGAGTGGGATCGAAACGTTTCCCGTGATATACATCCATTTGTAAAACATACCCGGTGACAGACTCGACCTACATATAGAATTTAACGCCAAACCTTGAACGTTTTCCTGGCATATACTGTAACATACTTGTCTTTCCTTTTGTACCAACAAGGGATTCATCTACAGCAAGTTCTCTGCGGGGATTATAGTACCGTAAAAATTTCCTGTTAACGAAATCAAGTAACGGTTTAAACCTTTGAGATGGTTTGTAAGCTGGATCATTACGCTTAGGGAGTTTTTTTTATGTCCACCTGGTGCACAAATTTTAAGATGTTTTGGAATCATAAACATACATTGTACAACGGAACCAGGGTGTAGACTGAGATGGACTGTTCTTATTCCAATATTCTTCAAATGAGACTTTCCTAATTAAGCCCATGTTAAAAAGAAACGGCAAAAATTCCCTTAAACTCAGGTATGGTTAGTTTACCCTCCTTCTGCCACTGCATTTTTCTCGAAAATCGTCTGGTTTGGCGAATGGTTTTTATTGCAAATATTCTTTGCATATCTAAAAAAATAATCAAAAATAATCATAAACATTTATTATATAAAGTCGTAGAATCTGTTATGTAAATATTTATTTTTTTAAGGGAACGACCATATTACTTTGAAAATGTATATTTTTTGGTAGTGGTGATTAAGTGTGGTGTGTGTCTGTATTATCTTCAAAAAATATTTTTAATCCCAACTTTGAAGAAAAACATTATGATCAGGGAATGTTTTTTTATTATTATCAGTTTTTGCCATTATAATTCCAATATCAAGTGTCAAGCCTGACTCATAAAGCAAACCTGAATAAAAAAAACCCATAGTACCCCCTTTCAGAGTTAAAGGGCTGTTCCCTCAAGAAATGTATTATTTTTATTTTCTTCATTTGTTTTGGTGATTTGTTGATGTCTTCGTGCCATTGACTTATATCCGTTCTTTTTAATATTTTGTTTTCGTATACTGCAAAAATAACCGTTTCTTTTGAGTTACATGACGTGCTTTTGTGTTATTTTATATCCTGTCATTGGGGCGCTTCCCCTGTATCTGAGGAAGCTGCAACGCAACCACAGAAAAACATAATGTCCATTACTCTTTATTGAGCTGAACGAACAAACAGTCGTGTTGGGCTGTCTTTCTATTATCTTGATCGGTTTACACATACCATTTCAGCAGGACGAACACCCGTTTATTTGAAGTATTTGTAGGGGGATATAAAAGTGTTCAAAATTTTCTAAATTATGTTTTAGAAAGAACAATGTCATAAATGAAAGAAATTGTACTCACAAAGACTTAAACCGTATGACTTTGTTGATTATTCTATTGACTGTGTCATTAACTTTCAAATTCAAATTCAAATGTTTATTGTCATAAAAACTCTTAACAATACGTTTATGACAAATTATATGAATACAAACATACACAAAATACTTTTCACAAACTTGTCCTCAGTTCTAATGCCTGTTCAAAAAAGGACCCTAAGCTTTCTACTTCTTTTGAGGTTGATGGGCAACATTAACATTTCAACGGCGCGTTGGTTCTACATTGATGGTAAAAAATTACAATATGGCTATGCAAGATACGTCTAGTAACTATAAACTAACTCAGAAAAGATTATTTTACCAACCCGTTTGTTTGTTTGACAAACTCTTTGATAAGGTCAATAGAAAACAGCAAATAAAAGTAAGCTATTGGCGCGGCATTTCTTGGCGGCATATTAATGGGTCCAGTGAGTGCTCTATTAAACGGTGGGTCATTCATTGGCTCTGGTGGGAGAACCCAGAACCACGGATTAGGTTCAATTGCAGCCATGTTTCCTTCAGCGCTGCTCAGAGTCTATGGCGTCACATATTACGTCATTGATGCTGCACATCGGCCAAACAGTTGGAAAGCAGGTTACGGTTTGACCCCAAGTCTATCAGCAACAATAGAGTCACGTGACCGTGAAAATTCAGTAAAACTACGGCTGAGACAAACCTAAAAACTAAAAATGACGGGCTGAATTTAAATTTAATAAGGCGTCCCACTAAGACAAACAATCGAAATGAATATCCAGGCAACAGAGTTTTGGATACGCAAACGTCAAGTTATTTTCAACACGAAGCGGTGGTTTTTTTGCGGATTTTGTGCAAGGGGTTATCTCCCCTGATATCACAACTCAAAAATGAAAACCCAACAAAATCAATCAAAAGGGGTTAACCTCACAAAAATCAAGAAAAAAACAAATGAAATTCGATTTACAACTATGGTATTTTCGTATTAACAAGAGATACCGCCCTCCTTTTCAGAGAAGGATAAGAGGTCAAAATTAAAAGACAATAAATTGGTTAAGAATTATGAAATGTCTCCTATAGTCCATTTCAAGTTATCCTGATTGGGCTAAATCGCCTCCTGCGTAAAAATTACTTACCGCGTTTATTCAAAATTATATTATCCTAACGCATTTTTTTTTGCTGTTGACTAATTTCAATAATCATTTCCCCCTCATTGTTAACATATCTGGTACCGCCGTCAAAATTGCCTCCGATAGTGATCTCACAATTGTAAAGCGGCCATTATTTTTACCGGATGTGTTGCCTGGGAGGACGGATGACGTATGTAAACAATATTTTTTCGGTATTCCCGGGAGTTATCTTGGATAAGACGAAAAAAGAAAAGACATTTATAAATAGCAGACGATCATCAACTTCTGATTACTGCAGTTATATTGTAGAAGACTTCAAGGAATCAAATATTATATAACCATGGGAAGAAAGAAAGTTAAAACCACCATCAAAAGTGTTGAGGTATAACAACCTGCGTGTAAACCAAGAATGATGTTTTCTGAAGCTCATGTGAATCATTGTCTTACCACAGTGCCCGTGGTGAATGGTCATCACACTGTTCCAATTCAACTGTCTGATCACTGCTGTCAACTTGTGTTATTGAAAAGTTCTTTCTTGATATAATACAGAATTATTGTACAAGGATTACCCATGCAGTTCAGAAAACATTATTTACAACTTTGTCCTTCATATAAACTTTTCTTCCTTCTTCTTCTGAAGTTCTGTACATGTAAGTAAATAAACCATGAATCTTTGCACATTCAAGATATTATACATTAGACATTCCTTTAAATAGCACATAATGAAATTGGGATGTGGAATATAGGGTGCAAGAAAGTGGAACCTAGAGAAAATTACCATACAAAAAAGCTGGACTGGAAAATTACCATTTCATGTACCCTCCCCCTCATATATGTTGTAGATTTTCCATAGGGAAAAGTTGGGGTTTGAATATAATTGTTGAAGGCTCTAAATATCTGCAACAGTTATTTGTGTCACTAAACTGCCATCTAAATGACATCTACATGAGGATGTGTATGGGGGTTTACAGAATAGAGAATAATGGGCAAAATATATATAAAGAATATAAAAAAAATGGATCTAACAAAACAAAGAATAGAGAATAATGTGGAAAAGGTATAAAGAATAGAGAGTAGAGAAAATGGCCTACAAAATAAAGAATACATAAATGAAGGACCCCACATCCAGACCCTCATGCATACCTTCACCTTTTTTCTAGATATCAAGGTGAACCAAATCTTACTGTTAGCCTAATAACTTTTTAATATATATATTTACACCAAGACGGTGTTAAATGAAATTGGACACCATACTCATGCTTTCAATAACATATATGGTCAAATCTCTGATTGACCCCACTTCTAAATTATTAAACCCATCATTCTGCATTGACACCAATATCTTGGAGTAAATTAAAAACACCCATTCGGGTCAACACCCTCTAAAACATACATTAAAAGAGATAACAGGAATCCTGAAAAATACCAAACAGACAACAAAAAAAAAAACCCGACATAGTCCATGAATCCTGAAAATAAACTGTTAACACAGAGATTTGTCTCGCATATTTGTTATTTTGATAATACAAATGTTGAAATTAAAATAGCAATACTTTAACATATAAGTTATGCAAATACTCAAAGTCAATGAACCATGACTGAAGGTATAGGGCTAAACAATCTCCATGGAAATGAGATATGCCAATGCTAATACAACTGCATACCAAATACCATTGACTTTTCATAATTTGTTCCCTTTCAAAAACAAACCTAAACACATACACTAGCTTGTAAACTATGTAAAAGTTTCAAAGTCAATGAAACATAATGAGGGGGTGGAGTTATTAAATCTCCATGGAAATGAAACTAGGAAATGCCAATACATGTGCATACCAAATATCATTGACTTAACATTAGCGGTTCATCTTAACTGACCTAATCACAAAGTAATACATGTAAACTAAGTAAAAGTTTCAAAGTCAATAGACCATAACCGAGGGGGCGGGGCCAAATAATCTCCATGGAAATGAGATATGCCAATGCTTATACAACTTCATACCAAATATCATTGACCTACCACTAGTGGTTCCCCTTAAACTGACCTAATCACAAACTAATACATGCAAACTAAACAAATTTTATATACAATATAGCGTTCTTGCTGCCTGTACTTACGTACCTGACGCAGATTATGATGACGCAGAGCGACAATCTCATCCCTCTCAACGACATGACGTCGGCCCGATCCTTTCTTAGAAAACATGAAAAAACACCAGTTTAATGTCATGTCTGCAATAGAATAAAACATAAATGTTGACATTGCTTAAAAAATAAATTAGTGAAATACTGGTATTGCAAATACAATGTAACAAAATTAATAGCCTTCATTCCTTGCTGGATGCATGGCTGTTTAACGTCTACGGCTTTTTCCTGGAAACAATTGTGTTTATTCATGCATGTGTTCCTATTTAGATGTATTGTATAATTGTGTTAATGTTTCTGTAGCATTTATTGCATTTCTCTTCTGAATGAGGATATAATTGCTAGGCATGAATGTTGCATTTATAAATGATTTTTCACTGCAAAAAAAAATTATTATTTTAAAATACATCGTTTCTTGCATACTGATTTCTAGTGATACTTCTTATTACAGATTCCACATTTGGTTGATGATCACAGTGTGTCAATCAAATATTTCAAGACTGTGTAGATTTCTTGTGTTTTGCATCAGGTATTGTATGTTATATACATATATGATTCACATTCCTTGTGCCAAAAAAAATTAAATGAACATTTTTTTGTCCAGTAAATTCATTTCCTTGTCTACAACAAGTAAGTTATGTTGTTTGTCAAACAAAAAGGAAATAAATTTCCTACCTACCCAACCGTACAAAGCATTGGACCCCTTAAGGAGTTATTGCCCTTTATAGTAAATTTCTTGTAAATTTTTGTAATCTTATACAAAAATCTTCTCCACTTAATCTTCTGGGCTAAAAAGAATTAAACTTAGCCAAAATTTTAAATAGGATATCTTGATTGAAAAATGTATCCGATTAACCTGTCATCCAACCAACATGGCCGCCATGGCTAAAATTGGAACATAGGGGTTTACTATAAAAGTCTAAGGGAAAATTGTAAAAAAAAACAATTTCAAATGGTCACAACTTGAAAACTAATTTAAATAATGATAAGGGGTCTTCAGTAACAATTGTAAGACTACAATGGGATAACCTGCTTTTAATTTAACTACTGGGCCAAATTAAACCAAAATTAGGCAAAATAATTATTAGGGTATCTAATACTATCAATTATGATTTTAACCTTATTTTACATGATTTCGAAAACCACAGTAGATACAAAAACCACAGTAGATACAGGTGAGCGACACAGGCTCTTGAGAACCTCTAGTTTAGGAACACTGTTGATTCATTCATTTTTGTGGGTACCAGTTTTCCTTGATTGAGAAAAATTATGTTTAACTTCGACATATGTTTGGTTGCAGAGTAAAACATTTAAGTTCATGGTTTACATTTAATGAAAAAATCAAAGAAAAGTGGGACCACACAACAATAAGAAATCCACAGTTATTTCTTTAAAAATTAACTTAAAAATGTAAATTGTAAGATATATTTACCGAAAACCCAGTGATTTCACTGTTCTCACTACTGTGGACAAGGATGCATTAATGTCTTTCTCTTTCAGAACTTCATGAAGTCTGGGCATTGACACCACCTCTTTTTCGGTACATGTCATATATTGTCCGTTTCACCACATTCCTGTTAAATTCATCCAGCTTCCAAGGCTTTGGACCAGACTTCCGTACACAAGACTTATGGACTGCCTTTACAACATCCTGCACTGGATCAAGGGCCTCTATCTTCCTCCTGAGAGTACTAAGGCTTATTCCTAAAAATAGAGAGAAATGTCAACATTAAATTGTTTTGTGTTAAATATGTGCATTTTAAGTATCAACCAAGTATGAGAGTATTAATGTTTTCAGCAGATTTCATAATTGTATAGAAATATGTATACATTTTCTAGTACAATGTTATGTTGTATGTGACTTGTGTAATGCTGTCCCTGGTAAAGAAGATACATTTTTATTTAGATTTTAAATCTTTTTTATTTTGTGCAATTATAGAACAATAAACATCATATATTGAACACCACAATTGGGATATTGAAAATAGATTTCTATTTAAAGAATTTATGCATATTATTTTATTTAACATTTTTGAACTTAAAGCAATATTACAATACATGTGTAAATAATTTTATTTTTTATACACTTGTCTAAGGCGTGAAATATGATGGTATAACATTGTTCGTCTATTGTCAACACTTCGTAAAATAACTCAAAACCTCCTTTTCATGAAACTTTGGTGAATTGTTTATATATATTGAAGCAAGCTCCCGTTTGAATTTATAAATTAAAGATCTTATTTTTCTGAGTTATGGGATTTTATTTATTAAGAATAGGGGGTTTTCCAGTTTTATGACTATAACTCATAAAATACTAGCAGTGATTTTCAAGTTTTCAGAAAATGAACAAAAAATGCATTGAGCAGTTTTCGTGAAACTTTGGTGACAAGTTTATATCTTTTGAAATAAGCTAGTTTTTTTTTATATAAATTTCTAATATGACATTGCATAGTTATGGAATTTTGTTTGTTGAAAAATTGTCGAAAATTATTTTTAGTTTAATATAAATCCATTTAAAACATTAAGGCCAGCAGAAAGGGGATTGGTGTATCATGCGCTCGTGGCGCAGCTCTTTATTTAATCTGCATTGTTAGGAGTTAAACGTTTTATTTTTCTAGTATAATTTCTGAAACTTTAAGGTAAAATAAGGATAGATGAATTTGTAGTCTTTTTAAAATTACAATAGTACCTCAATAATTCTATGTTAATTAACTGGTTCATGAAATGAAATGTCATTTTGAATCAAAATTTTTACCATTTTTCTAGGAGTTTGGGGTAATAATTTCATAGCTTCAGTCACAACTCTTGCTGTTGAAATCAAGAATTATGATTTACCAATTTCTTTACCAGACAAATTTACACTACCTGTTGCCTTCACCATGCGTGACCAAGGATCACTCAAACACCATGGCTTTCCTTTCTTCTTTTCCATAGTGAAAAATTTGAACATCTTTTCAAGGCGGTGGGACACCTGTGAAGAAATGGCAAAGATATTTTATAATTTGATAATTTCAGTTGCTATGATATATAGCGTTGTGAAATTTTTTTTTATCAATTTCATGAAAAAGTTTTAATCGGAAGTATACAGTTAATATTTTCTATATTATGGTTTACACTTAATTTTTAGCAGACCATGATAATTACTAGTTTTTTTCTTGCTTGGTTTGTTAGATTCCTGGCTAAATGACATTTACCCTATACCTGCACTAATTTATATGAATTGTATAGTATAATTTTTATATTATCTTGCATCTTATGTGTATGTTTTATATGTCTTAATATTGTATGTGTTGTTATTGTTATTAATGTCAGCAAAATCTATACAGAGCTTATGTTTGTAATGTTTCATGTAAACCGTACATGAAATGAAATTTTCTGTTCTATTCTTTTCTAATTCTATTCATGAAATGTTAGTTTTTGATCACTTGACTAGTCTGCTAGTTTGAATGAAAAATTCTCCTTAAAAATTAATAAATGTACCAGTAGCATTTGCTTGGTTGTTTTTATTCTTATGATGCTTAACTGGTATTTATATGTGTTGCTTGCAATAGAAATCTAAGCAATTAAAAGAAAAATGTTAATATTGTAGCCAACCAATTTTCAAATTAAAGGGATATAAATCTATTTCTTATAGGTGTTATCTCCCTAAGAACACAAGTCCTTTAGTTAAAGCACAACAGTGAAATGATAATTTAATAAAAGGGATTTCCGCGAAGGAATGCTGTTTTTAATTGAATTTAGGTGCACAATGGATGGAGTAATTTTTCTTGAATATTTTTATTTTCAAGACATATTTGCCTAACTGTTTATGAATTCGAGGATAGTGTGACTTTTTATTTGTAAATAAGTTTAATTTTCATATTTATATCTTGGTTATAGGATATTAGTAAGACCACATGCAAATGTGAAATCTTTAATTAACATATTATAAACATTTCAAATTGAATTTTTGATAAACACTAGCTTGAGTAAACTTTGATCAAATTACCACAAAATTTAGACTTCTTTTGAGATTTTTAAATATAGGCTTCTGTCTTATTTAAAAGATTTCTGGTCTAATGTTCCAGAGTAATGGGACTTATAACACTTATGTTTTAAGCAATAGTTATATCACTTTGAATATCTCATGAGACTTTTTCAATAGGACAGTTGAACTGACTTCTTATTCACTTTTCAAGTGCTGCAAATTAAGAAAGTATTGCTGTAATGCAAGTTTTTTTAAATTTTGGAACACTTATCTCATCACAATTTATGGCATAAAAACATTGCGAACATTTCTGAATTAACAGTATTTCATTGTAATTTTGCAACAATTTCAAATGCAAAAGAAGGGTGCATCATTCTGGTTCATTGTTTATTTAATATTTAATTATTTCTTTAATTCATATTCACGTTTAGATGTGAATATTGTTCCACTTATAATGAAGACTGAATCATTGTTCTTTAAGCTGGGTATTATAAACAAGAATGTTACTACGGTTGTCAATGGAAACATGTAAGAACTAGAACATTGAACAAGTAAATAGTTCAATTTTATGATATTTTCAATTTGGAATCCTTCTTTTTATAATCTGTAGATATAAAATATTTAACGGCATTTAAAAAAGAATGATGATTTAATTTGTTTGATGATGAGTCTGTACATCTCAGTTTGTCAACTATTTCGAGGCCCTACTCACTATTTTCTGAATTTTATGCCGATAGGCGAGACATATCTCTGTGTTAACAGTTTATTTATTTTCTCGAGCAGTAGTATCCCACTTACAGATAACTGACAGTGTTCGATAAAATATAAGGCCAAATTATGTGCCATTTTTGTCTCGCCTTGACGGAGTCAAAAAGCGAGACATAGGTATGCTGTTTCCGGCGTCAACAATGTATTAGTTTGTGATTCGGTCTAGTTTGTGGTGAACCAATAGTGGCAGGTCAATGATATTTGGTATGCAGTTGTATTTGGATTGGCAAATCTCATTACCATGGAGATTAATTTGCCCCGCCCCCTCAGTAATGGTTTGTTGACTTTGAAACTTTGGTTAGTTTACATGTATTAGTTTGTGATTAGGTCAGTTTATGGGGAACCACTAGTGGTAGGTTAATGATATTTAGTATGCAGTTGTATAAGCATTGGCATATCTCATTTCCATGGAGATTATTTAGCCCTGCCCCCTCAGTCATGGTCTATTGACTTTGAATATTTGCTTAGTTTGCATGTATTAGTTTGTGATTAGGTCAGTTTAAGGGGAACCACTAGTGGTAGGTCCATGATATTTGGTATGAAGTTGTAATATCATTGGCATATCTCATTTCCATAAAGATTATTTCGCCCCGCCCCCGCAGTTATGGTCAATTGACTTTGAAACTTTTTCTTAGTTTACATGTATTAGTTTGTGATAAGGTCAGTTTAACATCAACCGCTTATGTTAAGTCAATGGTATTTGGTATGCAGTTGTATTAGCATTGGTACATCTCATTTCCATGGAGATTGTTTGGCCCTATACCTTCAGTCATGGTTCATTGACTTTGAGTATTTGCATAACTTACATGTTAAAGTATTGCTATTTGAATTTCAACATTTGTATTATCAAAATAACAAATAGGCGAGACATATCTCTGTGTTAACAGTTTATTTTCAGGATACATGGACCATGCCGGGCTGATTGTTTTTGTTTCCTGTTTGTTTGGTATTTTTCAGGATTCCTGTTATCTCTTTTAATGTATGTTTTAGAGGGTGTTGACCCGAATGGGTGTTTTTAATTTACTCCAAGATATCAGTGTCAATGCAGAATGATGGGTTTAATAATTTAGAAGTGGGGTCTATCAGCGATTTGACCATATATGTTATTGAAAAGCATGAGTATGGTGTCCAATTTCATTTAACACCGTCTTGGTGTAAATATATATATATAAAAGTTATTAGACTAACAGTAAGATTTGTTTCATCTTGATATATAGAAAAGAAGGTGAAGGTGTGCATGAGGGTCTGGATGTGGGGTCCTTCATTTATTTATTCTTTAAATTTTAGGCTATTTTCTCTTTCTATTCTTTATACCTTTTCCACATTATTCTCTATTCTTTATTTTGTTAGATCCATTTTTTTTATATTCTTTATATATATTTTGCCCATTATTCTCTATTCTGTAAACCCCCATACACATCCTCATGTATATGTCATTTAGATGGCAGTTTAGTGACACAAACAACTGCTGCAGATATTTAGAGCCTTAAACAATTATATTCAAACCACAACTTTTCCCTATGGAAAATCTACAACATATATGAGGGGGAGGGCACATGAAATGGTAATTTTCCAGTCCAGCTTTCTTGTATGGTAATTTTCTCTAGGTTCCACTTTCTTGCACCCTATATTCCACATCCCAATTTTATTATGTGCTATTTAAAGGAATGTCTAATGATTAATATCTTGAATGTACAAAGATTTATGGTTTATTTACTTACATGTACAGAACTTCAGAAGGAAGAAAAGTTTATATGAAGGACAAAGTTGTGAATGATTTTTTCTGAACTGCATGGATAATCCTTGTACAATAATTCTGAATTATATCAAGAAAGAACTTTTCAATAACACAAGTTGACAGCAGTGATCAGACAGTTGAATTTTAATTATTTGCTAGGGTTACATTACATTAAAAATTTAATACTAAAACGGTCGTTTGAACTGAATAACTCTTAAATGCATAACATTAAGTGCAAGGGAAAATGTTATGAGTGTTTTTTTTCTTATTTGTTCAGTTTATCTATGAAAGTACGCATCATCGAGAAAAATTTATCACCCCACCAATAGCCCTATAATATGTACTCCTTTCCTAAAAGATAGAGAACATTTCTGGATAAAGGAACTAGATACTGCAATGCCATATGGTTGCAATGATTACATCAAAGGAGTAGGAAATTTGTCAAGTCCAGCCTGCAGTGATGTTAATGTTATGGGCTTATTTAATACTACTTTAAGACACCAGCGTAGTCATGGGCAAAAACGTTACCATCGGCCCAATGTAAAAAGTCTTCTTAATTTAGATTGCCCTCTGGGAGCTTTGCTAACCATCCTTCACATCTTCATCATCCGCTAGGGTTACATTACATTATAACTATTCTTTTTTCACTGCCGGTTAATTTTCTAAAATGTTTGAGAGATTATGCACTTGACAAGGGATGCATAGATATATTTTCTTCAATATACAAACTAGTCAGTATAATTTGTGATGTAGCTCTTTTTCGTCTTTTTAAACCAGTAAAATCGGAACCTTTACATGATGAAAAGAGGAAATTCCTACCATTTAAGTTTTCAAATAAAGGAATTGATGCAATCAACATCAGCAACGTTCTTCATCAGAAGGAGGTAACATCTAAAATTCCACTCTATTTTCAAAATCATCAAAAATACCATTGCACCTAACGTATTCAACTATAGGCAAGCATTGCAGGACCTTGATTTAGAAGAATACCTAAAAAACCCTCTGACATGTGACTGTTCCCACTCGCCTTATATTTACAGCCCCTCTGGCCATATTATTACTGGGGATCTAATCATAATTCAACATGAACATCTCAGAAAGGTGATATCTCATGGTCCTAAGTTCAGAGAACACCAACACATCAATTGGAACCATAACTTCAAAATAGTTATGGATTCCATTGAGGACTACGCCAGAGCAAGGGCTAAACGAGAAGAAGTTGAACTAGATACTTTGTCAGAATGGGTCAAAACAAGTAGGTCTCTGATAAAACGTCGAGTTCATAAGTTGAAAAACTGTGTGAATGATCGACCAAAGTCCGTTTTCAGAGACAAAGAAGCTGTGAAATGTCTATCATCTTTTCTCGATAAATATGTTGTTGTTCCTGCGGACAAAGTTTCAAATAATATTGTCTTTGTATGTAAATCGTACTACTACAAATGTCTTGTAAAAGAATTAGGAATAAATGAGCACTCAGGTAATTCCACATACAAAAATATATCATTTGACAAGGATGAGATTTTGGCAAATCATAAGTCCTTCACGGCTTCAATGATCATAACATTGAACAGCAAATCTGAAAACTTACCTTGTTTGTATTGGATTCCTAAGCTTCACAAAATTCCGTACAAACAACGGTACATTGCCGGCTCATCTGCATGTTCTACAAAGGAATTGTCCATTAGATTGACAAAAATTCTGTCCGCAGTGAAAGAGGGTCTTCAGAAATACTGTGAAACTGTTTACTCGCGTAGTGGTATTAACAATATGTGGATTTTAAAAATCTCTAAAAAACTTCTGGATAATTCTAAATCTTGATCTTTCTCTGAAATTAATTCTATGAAAACTTTTGATTTTTCAACCCTGTATACCACCATTCCACTTTGAAATTGAAAAAATTGTTCTCAAGAAATAATCCACAACGCTTTTCAATATGAAAATGGTTTCCAAAAATGTCCTCTACCAAGTCAGGAATATGGCAGTTGTTATCAAATAGTTCGTTTCTATGTATGTTG